AATTACTGTAGTGCTTTTCTCAGAGGTTTGTTCTGTTCCCATTCCCCCGACCCTTCCTATGCATTGTCCCAAGTAAGAGTATCATTACCATCTATTCTTCTTACTGGACATTTTAAAGTACTTGTACAAAAATGGTGTTAGGGATATAGTAAAGTTACTTCTAATCTTTTAATTGGCTTCTGCCCTTACTGCTATTTGAGCAAAGAGAAAAGACCCTTATAAAGAACTGTAAGGACAAAAGACTTACTTTTAATTGTGACCCCAAGAATTATCAATATCCCTATTAACAGAGACAAGGGCTTCATCTTCTCTCAAGCAGCTCCTCTTCAATGTAGCACAGGCAGAAACTAGGTGGTTGGCCCAAGAGCTCCTCTTCTCAGGGCTGTGGGGGGTGCAGGAGTCAGTTGCTAGGCAACCATTTCCTTACTCTTGGGCCAATGGGCTGCCAGGGAATTCCTTTCAAGCCGGAATGAAGGCAGCTGCTGGAGAATGTAGGCTGTGGGAAGGATCCACTGCTATTCTTCTGGCTGAAGATAAGGGGTAGGCTAGAATAAGTAGGGGCGACTCTCTAACATGAAATGAAGGGACCAGAAATCCAACTTGTATGTATCCACATATTCAACTTTGTTCAGAGGTGCTGGAAGTTCTTATTTTTATGTTGCCTCTAGAGGTATGAACTACACTTATGTAAAAACACAATTAAGTACATGAATTGATCTGACATCATCCTTTAAGCTGACATCTCTAGGCTATGATGGACAAGAAACAATGGGCCAACTCTGCTTTGTTCCCAATCTGGGTGAAAACCTTTATCTTATTTTTAAGTTAGAAACTGCTGAGGATTTACTGGAACAAAGGCAAACAAAGACTGTTTAAAAATGCCTTTATATACCTAAAAATAATACAGACATTTCACAAGTGGATATCTTTAAAGCTACGATAAACCAAAATGAATATTTAGGGAAACATATAAATATTAAAAATATCCAAGGCACAGAGCTAGTTGAGAAATTATGCCTACAAAAAATATCCAACTTTTACAGTGTGTCCAGGTAATTACTTCAGAAATAGACATTTTACTGTCTTGAATTTACAGTTTTACTCTTTTTATTAGTTTCCCATTGCTGTGGTAAAAAAATTACCACAAACTTCATGGGTTAAAACAACAGAATTTTATTCTCTCATAGTTCTAGAGACCAGAATTCCAAAACGATTCTTACAGGGCTAAAATCAAAGACAAGGCTAGCTCCTTCTGGAGGCTCCAGGGAAGAATTCATTCTTGGGCTGGAAATGTTCAGCTCTTAAGTGGCTGCTAGCATTCCTTGATTTGTGGCCACATCATTTCAGTCTCTGCTCAGTCACCACTTGCTTCTGTAGTTTAATCTCCTTTTGTCCTCCTCTTCTAAAGATACTTGTGATTACATTTAGGGCCCACCAACATGATCTGGGACAATCTCTTTCTTTCTCAAGATCCTTAATGTCTGCCAGGCGTGGTGGCTCATGCCTATAATGTCAGCTTTTTGGGAGGCTGAGGCAGGTGGATCACTTGAGGCCAGTAGTTGGAAACCAGGCTGGCTAACATGGCAAAACCCTGTCTCTACTAAAAACACAAAAATTAGCCAGGTGTGGTGGTAGGTGCCTGTAGTTCCAACTACTTAGGAGGCTGAGGCATGAGAAGCGCTTGAATCCCTGGGGATAGGGGTCTGGGGGGTGGAGGTTGCAGTGAGCAGAGATTACACCACTGCACTCCAGCTTGAGCGACAGAACGAGACTCCATCTCAAAACAACAACAAACCGAAACTGCTTTACAGGAAAATCAATGATCAATGAAGGCATACAGGACAAAGGTCAGGTGGGGTCAGAGTCAGGGAAGGCTTTGCTAGGGAGTGATGTTTAAGCTGTAATATGAAGAATGAGAGTGGGTCAGCTAAATAAATCATGTCCCAAGTGTTGCAACAAACATGTTAAAAGGTTATGTGGTATTCCAGAACATGAAACGCTCTACGGTTTGGTATGGCTGGAACCAGAGACTGGGGAATGGGGGTGGCAATGAAGCATAGTATAAAATAAGGCTGGAATAGTAGGTGATAGTCACTCCATTCTTAATAATTTAATTGTTATAAAAAGACTGTATTAGTCAGCTGAGGCTACTGCAAAAAAATAATATAGACTGGGTGACTTTACACAGCAGAAGTTAATTATCTCACTGTTCTGATGGCTAGAAATCTGAGACCAGGGTTCTGGTGAGGGCCTTCTTCCTGCTTGCAGATGGCTACCTTCTTGCTGTGTCTTCACATAGCAGGGAAAGGGGATGGGGGGAGAGAGTCAAAGAAATCTCCTTCTTCTTATAAGGCCTCAGTCCTATTAGCCTCATTCACTGTTACGACTTCATTTAACCTTAATTACTTCCTAAGACCTTATCTCCAGATTTAGTCGCATTGGAGCTTAGGGGTTCAACATATGAATTTTGGAGGCACATAAGTCAGTCCATAGTACAGACCACCAGAAAGTCATTGAATGACTTACAGAAGTGAGAAGATGTGATCACTCATGACAAGATATCCCTAGATGCAGTGTAGACAATGGACAGAAGAGGTGCAAAAGTGGGCATGAATGCCACTTAGGAAGTCTTTGCAATAGTCCAGTTAGATTCAGACTGAGTTTACTGCAATGCTATTGGAAAGTAGAGTGATTCCAGACTTATACAGACTACTCAATAAAATTGCATGGGTATGGCAACGCATTCGATGTGAGAGTGAAGTTATAAGAGTTACCAGGGATGGTGCTTAGGTTTCTAGATTTTTCAACTAAATGGGTAATGGAGTCATTCAAAGAGACAGGGAAAACTGGGAGAAGGAGCATGAGTTCAGTTTGGTACAAGGCACTTTAGGGATGTTAAATATTTAACACTTTTGAATGATAATGGTATTTTGTCAGAGTGATTAAAATTAAATGCTGGAACGAATGCCCTCTGCATACCGTTTTTTTGACAGAGTCTCATACTTGTTGTCCAGACTGGAGTGCAGTGGCACAATCTCCACTCACTGCCATCTCCACCTCCCTGGTTCAAGCGATTCCCCTGCCTCAGCCTCCTGAGTAGCTGGGATTACAGATGCCTACCACCACACCTGGATAATTTTTTCTATTTTTAGTAGAGATGGTGTTTCACTAAGTTGGTCAGGCTGGTCTCGAACGCCTGATCTTGTGATCCACCTGCCTCGGCCTCCAAAAGTGCTGGGATTACAGTCTTGAGCTACTGCGCCCAGCACTTTTCACATTTCTATATAAGAAGTCAATATCCTTCCTACAAAATCTGCAATTGCTCCTGTATTGCTTAATATTAATATTGCTATTTGCCACCTTACCCATCCTATGAAATGCTTTTCTCCTCAACTTTTTCTCAAAATCTATTTCACTATCAGGTTTTAGTTATTCTTCCTTGGTAATGTCTCTTATCAAAGACCTCTTTCTATTTCTAGTGCAAATAAATAAGTACATATTTTTATTACTAGGTCAAATGTCACTTCCTTCTTGAAGCCTTCTTTATTTCTCCCAAATCCATTTTTTATGTATTTCACAGCATTAAAATAAAAACAGGCCGGGCATGGTGACTCACGCCTGTAGTCCCAGCACTTTGGGATCACTTGAGGTCAGGAGTTCAAGACCAGCCTGGCCAACATGATGAAATCCCATGTTTACTAGAAAATACAAAATTAGCCAGCCGTGGTGGCACATGGCTGTAACTCCAGCTACTCTGGAGGCTGAGGCAGGAGAATTGCTCGAACCTGGCAGGTGGAGGTTGCAGTGACCTGAGATGGAGTCATTGTCCTCCAGCCTGAATGACAAGAGTGAAACTCTGTCTCAGAAAAACCAAAACACAAAAATTACCTTGCCATGTTGTGAATCATCCTTAGGCGAGTGTCCAACTACTAAAAATATTCCATTCTTTACAATTCTTATTGGGGCCTCCTCCTTTCTTTTCTATTTTTAAAAAATGTGTTCCAAATAATTATTTGCCCAATACATATAACAGAGTACCGAAATTGCCAAATAAATGTGGATTTACCATATCTACTCAATTAGCGTTGCAGATGATCTGATATATAGAATCACAATAAATTTGGGGGGAGGGTACCAAACTTCTAAATTATAGGTCACCCTACTCTTGTGGTGGACTTCAGTGAAACCGGATTTGCAGAACCTGTCGCGTTAGTATTATGCAGAATTAAGCCAGCTTTTTGGACACGCGTCTTAACTTTACACAATTGGAAGAATAAAGTAAGATCATTTGGCTCTGTTTAACAAGCATTTGGATTTGTTTTGATGTAAGACGTGTTTTCAATATAACATTTTGGTTGTCTGCAACTTCTTGGTTCTGAAAACTGTCTTGAGTATCCCAGTCTACATTTGTTCTTTCTAAACTTCACCAAAATTCCAATGAAATTTGTGATTTTCACTACAAGTTTGAGGAGCCAACTGCATACGGTGTGGAACCATTTCCCAACACTTTCACTTCTTTTGGCCTTTTCTATTTGCCCACCCAGAAGACAACATCAGATTAACTGGTAAAAATCCCCACCAACGGGGCAGTCGTTGTGAGCAAGTACAATTCGTGTTGACCCTTGGCCTCCTCCCGCTAGTACATCCTCCAAGTCCCTGAGGCGGCTTTTGCCCATTCTCTCACCTGGCCTTACAGGCCACGCCCTCAAGTCTTCCAAGAGGCCAGCGGAAAGCGCGGTCCCCTCAAGTCTTCACCTCCCCGCTAGTACATCCTCCAAGTCCCTGAGGCGGCTTTTGCCCATTCTCTCACCTGGCCTTACAGGCCACGCCCTCAAGTCTTCCAAGAGGCCAGCGGAAAGCGCGGTCCACCTCCTGCTCCTCCTAGGTGTCAGCTTCATGCCCCGCCCCAGTCGCGAGGCCAGCTCCGGCCCTTGCGCTCCCTGGCTCCGCCCCCTCCAGCTCCCTAACGTCCTCCGCGTCGGGCCCGAGCCTGCGCCTGCGCCTGCGCCCTGGGACCCAAGTTGGGGCGCGCCTTGGCTAGAACGTGGAGAGCGGCGGGCAGTGCAGCCAATGGGAGGCGGCGTTGGCTAGCGGCTGGGAGGCGGGGCCTGCGCGGGTGTTAGGTTAGCGCGAGGCGTGACCTAGTTGACAGGCTCTGAGGTGCTGCTGTGGCGGCGGCCGCGGGGCTGAGGCGGGTGGGAGCCGGAGCCAAGCGCGGGCTGAGGGAGGAGGGCGGCGACTGGAGAGCGGCGAGCGGCGAGCAGCGCAGGACGCGGAGCCTTTTTCACTTTTTCCCTCCCGAGTGCCCCCTTCCGCCCCTCCCACTCCACACACACCCTGTTTGCCCGTGAGCCTGGGGAACTTGCAGCTTAAAGCCAGCCACCCCCACGGCAACATGTACCCCAGCAACAAGAAGAAAAAGGTGTGGAGAGAGGAGAAAGGTAACTGGCCCGTCGAGTTCTGGGGGTGCGGGCGGTGGGGGTTGGGGTGGGGGCGGGGGTCAGGCTGTGTGTGTGCCGCGGCGCCCTCCGCCCGAGCTCCCGCCACGCGCCCTCCCGGCCGGTGCCGCCTCCCTCCCGTGTCCGTGTGTACACACGCGCACACGCGCGCGCACTCCGGTGTGCACGCGCCGCCCCCGAGTACCTGCAGCTCGCGCACGTGTGGGCGCACGCCCCTCTGTGCCGCCCTCGGTGCTCGGTCACCTTCTCCCGAGGCGGTGCTGCGTTCGCCTTGCTCGCAGCGGGGACCCCAGGTGGGCAGTCCTGGGGCGGCACAAGTTCCTGTGCTTCGCAGCTGGGACTTGGGTACTGTCGGTCCGGGTGTCCCGTGGACACGTGCCCGCCGGCGGGCGCTCAGGCTGCAGCTGGCGCTGTGCCTCTGAGCTCCCCCTCCCTGCACCCTCATTCCTTTCCTCCTCGCCCCTGTTCCCCCAACCCTCAAATGGCAAAGTGTCCTTACCATCGGGTGTTTTACCCCTTTTCTGGGTCTCCCTCCTTCAACGCCGTTGCATGACTTTTTGAAACCTGGAACTCTAGGGTAGCCCTAAAACAAGCGTGTTGTCCGTAAGGATAAGTGCCTTGAGAGAAGTCTGAATGAGCTTTTCTCCTAACAGTGTGTTTCTCTGTATTCCATACTGAATCATGGGCTGAAGTTGCTCGGAGTAAGATTGTGTGACTAATGTCACTCTGAATGAATCCATCTCTGAATTTTGTGCATATGAAGGTTTATCCAAATCCGCTAGATTGACAGTGGCTCTGCTTCTCTAAGAAACTGAAGTGTGCGATCCAGCCTCTCCCCTCAAGATCTCCCCCTTGCCCTATCACAGTTAGATAATATTCTAACTGGAGTGTCTCTGGCGTTTTTTCACCCTCCTTTTCACATCCTTTTCCTTTTCATTCTTTAGCTATTTACAGAAATGTAGCAAAAACTTCTTACACTCCTTTATTGCTGAAATACATTAAAACCTGTATGGCAAGGGTGAGGTCTGTTGAGGGTAGTAGTACACATTTCTCCTGGGTACCTCATCTTTACAGAAGGATATAGGGTGACTAGGTAGAAAATTGATTTCCTTGTTAATATTTCGTTCAGATCTGTAGATTTTTATTGCAAGTCGTGGCCTTTGTGAACATGAAAGCCCAACAGCGGAGGTAAGAAAGGGAATTAATATGTAAAAGGAATCCTTGATCTGCTTCCACATTGCATGAACAAAGGCATGAAGAAGGGATTTTTTTCAAATTTACTGCAGGAAGAGTTAACATAACTGAACAACATAATTAAAATGGTCTTTAAAAATACTGAAAGTTTAATCATTTCATTATGTTTTAATAATTATGGGCATATAGAGAGCTAACACTTCTGGTGTCATAAAACAAATGCTGTAGAGAATAATAGCCTGATATAGTAGTGTAAGATAATTTTGCTTCGTTTTTTCAGTAGTAGTTACTTTAGTTTCAACACACGTTCAATAAGGATTTACCTTGTGACCGCTGAAAAATCATTTATGCCCATATTTATTGATGATGTTGAAATGTTAGCTTTGCATTATTCATGATCATGAGGGCAAAAACAGTGGAAGACATACCTTGTTTTCACTAACATGAATCATTGATGAAATTATAGTGAGTACTTAAGAACTATTTTTCTGTGGTGATAGAGAAACAATGTTCCTCAAGTAATAATACCGTTATAATGTTTCCTTCATTTAGCATCTACACAGTTGGACTGTGACCAGCAGGCATTTAAGAATCTTTTTTAATGTCTTGATTTATTTTCTTCTATTTCTTTTAATAATGGAGAATATATAACCAATTTTTTTCTAAGTAAGCAAATGGACAATTAAATAAGGCAGTTAACAAAGCAATTATCTAAAACTAAGTTATTTTGGCATGAAATTTAACGTTAAAAGAAAAGATGACGGTGATTTGAAGAATTTAATGCATGTCTCAGTGTTTTTTTTCAGGATGTCTATGTTTTGAATATTTAAATGTAAAATATATATTATACCCCCAAGAAGGAGCTAAGGATTTCTAGTACCACAGTATTAGAGAAGCTAATGGGATGCATGACCTTTTTCCTTTCATCCCACTGGGGAGCTGGATATAGTATTTTTGCAGCTGTCCTTTTAAGCTAAAGGAAGGCTTACTTACCTCATTGAAATGTCAAGGCATTCTATAAACATATTTTTAACTCAGTATACCATTTAATAAGTAGGTCTGCCTACTTATGTGCTTGGTTCACAGAGAAAGGATTCATTGTAAAGGTGAAGCATTCTTTAAAGAAAAGTTTTATGAAATGACAAAAAACTGCATATGTATTTGTGGCCTTCAGTATGTTTCATTGTTTAAACAAGTAATTAAGGAGCTCCGAAGATCACATATGTTTAAATAAACATTTTTGATCTAGTATTTTGAGTCCTAATTCAGAACCACTTAATGTGCATTTTCAAGTCTTGCAACTTACTTCATTGTTTTGTCTTAAATTGATCTCGTTTTTGTTGTTAAGTGTTCAGACTTCAACTTTTAAATAAATGGAGCAACAGAGGCCCAGTTGCATTTCTGTATGTACTTTTTGACATTTACAGAAACTGTAAGTTGCTTCATAATGTCTTTTCACCTACCCAGTAATATTGTAATAATTTTTTGTTTGTGATCTGAGCTTTTTTAGTACTGCTTTGGCATACTGCTAGTCATCTCTTTTTTTCTGTCTTTATGTGATAATCCTAAATTAACCATTCTCTTAAGTTTCTTATTCTCCCAGGACCCTATCCCCCATACCAAACAGTTGACGTTGTCTTTTTAATTCAAAGAGAAAGTAAATGCCATGTAATGTGAACAGCCCTAACATCCTCTTCTGTAGTCTCATTGGTCTGTTCCTTTACATGTCCTTTTGGCTTTGTTCTTAGAGGAAGCACTTTTCTTCCTGTGTGTAAAATTAACCTTTCTGCTTGTGCTCTTTATCCCCTATCTTGTATTTGAGTTCTTACATCATCATGTATTCTCTCTTGGGTATGTTTAATTTCTTGTTGTCTTCAGGTTCTTCTCTATTGCCTGTAACAGTGCTTGGATCTCTTCTACCTTAGAGTCGCTTTTCTTTCTTTCTTTCTTTCTTTTTTTTTAAAGACAGGATTTCACCATGTTGGTCAGGCTGGTCTTGAACTCCCTACCTCAGGTGATCCGCCCGCCTTGGTCTCCAGAGTGCTTGGATTACAGGCGTGAGCCACTGCACCTGGCCTAGAGTCGCTTTTCTTTCATAGGGCTTCACCCTGGAGTTGCTGTTCTCACTTTACTTCTTTTGCTCAGTCCTTCATAGTCTCCTGGATTTCCATTACATTGTAATGAAACTAATGTTTCTGAAGTCATTCAGTAGTAACAATCATGATAGTGTTCATATAAGAATAGTTAATATGGCCGGGCGCGGTGGCTCACGCCTGTAATCCCAGCACTTTGGGAGGCCGAGGCGGGTGGATCATGAGGTCAAGAGATCGAGACCATCCTGGTCAACATGGCGAAACCCCGTCTCCACTAAAAATACAAAAAATCAGCTGGGACTGGTGGCGCGTGCCTGTAATCCCAGCTACTCAGGAGGCTGAGGCAGGAGAATTGCCTGAACCCGG